GGGGGGGGGATGAAACAGACACAGTCACTGTCCTCAAGGGTTTCACAGATTAAGACAAAGAGAAAAACTCAGCCCAGAGAGGGAACTAGCCCCGCTAGCCAAGAGACTTCTTTACTTCTTTGTTAGTAACACACAAAGCAGAACCCTGCCTCAGGAAGATTAGGATTCCACTGATCCTCTAAGGCAGTAGGTAAGGTTCTGGAAGTTCTGTGATACACTCAGGTGATACTGGCTCTTTGTGTTCCCAGGGCTGTGTTCAGATCCTCAGATTAAAAAGGTTCTTCTTACTATTTCCCCTTAGAGAACAGAATTGTCATTTAGAGATCAGCAACTGGGGTAGGTTAGCCATCTGCTCTGTAGAAAGGGCCAAAGAGGTTTCTGTGAATTGAATTAGGATTCCCCTCCCCCACCAGCACTGCATAGTGATTTTTGAAAAAGAGGGACTCTGGGCTCAGTGAGGGAACTGTTTTAAATGGGAGTCTATGCAGTACTGTTTGCTGGTGTTTGAACCTCTTGGTAAATAACTTGCTATTGCCTTGATTTATTATCTTTTTTATCTTGACTACTTTGGAAAATACCATTAGAAGTTTTGAGATTTTGCACAGCTGTTCCATCCATATCTGGAGATACCTTTTTGAAGAAAGGTGAGATTTCAAGGCAAGATATAAAACCGTATGGAGGTTATTTGGATCTCTCGAGTTTATGTCCATTTGTTCTTAGACAGAATTTGCTGAAATAAAGATCTCTGTATAAATCTGTGACTGTATTATCATAGTCAATTCAGGTATATAAGTTAACATCTGTTACAAATGTTGGTCCAAACATGCCATATTGACTGAAAACATACCTGTAGGAAATTTCATTCAAGGTGTGCAATTATAATTTAATTTTTTAGTGGTAAGTCAGGTTATGCTCTTCTCTTTCCTTTTCATCCCATTTACAAACAAATCAGCCAAAGCGTAGAGCTAAAGAGGAAGAAGGGATGAAGAGCAAGAACGAATCATGTACTTAAGCACTCAGAAAGTTTTAGCTTGGATTCATTTTTGGTTGAAACACAGTACAAGTGTTATGTTTAGTTTCCCCTGCTCTAAAATAGCACTGTTAATTTTTTCATTTGGTGAATTTTCACACAAGTGCTAATCACACGTTTCTATAAATTATATTAATTTAACTTATTTCCCTAAATGTTGTTCTGCAGTGTGTAGCACGGATGTTCTCAGATTCTTGGCTGTGTAAGCTTGTTGCAGTTGGAAGCAGAACAGAAACATCTGAAAGGCATTATTTGGATTACCGATGCTGGAGCATCTGATCTCACCTTTTACTCTGGTTCCTAAATCACAACTGTTCTTTCCCTTTGTATCTAATCTGTATGTCCTGCCTCCTCCATCTTTGACATTGCCCCAAGGTTGGTTTTTTTGGAGAAAACACTGTCATCATACAAGTAGAAGTTAAAGAAAGAGTAAATTTAGGTAATCATATTTGATGTTTGATAGTTTAGTTTGTAGGAGGATGACTACTTCAGATTTAAAAGACAACGGAGATCGGTGTGGGTGATACTTCTTATCCCTAAAAAGGAGTACTCGTTTATGAAAAATGTAACTATTATTTTTTTTTTTTTCTTTTCAGAGTATGATTTCATCCATTGTAAATAGCACATATTATGCCAACGTGTCAGCAACCAAGTGCCAGGAGTTTGGGAGATGGTATAAGAAGTACAAGAAGATTAAAGGTAAACTGACGTTTTTGTTTTTAAAGCCTATTTTTAGTGTCTTAGGGCAATTAATTTTTGGTTCTTTGGAGTTTATGCTAATTTTAGGTATACATTTTTATAGAATTATATACAATTTTTACAAAGGTAAGATTCTTAATATTTCCATCAGGAGATCCTAATTAGCTCCCTTAAAACTAAGATGGTATTAGAACTAAAGTAAAATTCGTAGCATAATACATGAAGTTTATTGTCTTCACAAGAGATGCATGTGAAGGCCAAGATGTTTAGAAATACTTGAAGTGGTTTATTTCAGATAGGCATGTCTATTTAAAAAGCTCAATCAATGAATCACTGGAAATTTAAAAGCAGTCATTGTAGGTTAAATCAGCACTTACAGTTCAAGTACCAATTAACAAATTAGAATGACTGCTTGCTGTGGTATCAGGAAATCTTTGGTTAAAAATGGAGTTTTGATGTGTTTATTTGGTGACAGTTCCAGAGCAGTGGTTAAATCAAAGGGTCTCTGCTGCAGTAAAGCAGACTTGTGTTCAAATCTCTGTTCTCCCTTTGCTAGTGTGTGTTTGAGCAAATTTTTTAACTTCACCAAGATTCAGTCTCCTCATCTGAAAATTTAAACAATAAAAGTATCTAAATCACTCACTAGCTGTGAGGACTAAATAGGTTAATACTGGCATAAAGAAACCTCTTAATAAATAATAGCTGTAATGCCATAATGCTATAATAATAATTAATTGTAGTAGTGGTAATAGTAGTAATATAGTAAATGTGGAATTGTATCTGGTCCTGAAAATACAGTCTCTTATATGATAAATGGCATGCTATTTAGACCATCCAGGCCTTTAAATATGTCAGTGATATTTTTCCTTTACAAATAATGTCAGTGTTGGAAACATTCTGGTGTCCTCACCCAATTCAAATGCTATTCAGATTCAGATCCTACCAGCCCCTGAGGGGATTTGGGGAATTTTTGGGTAACATAATAGGTTGATGTTCGAAGGTCCTTCCACTCTATATTTTTGCATGATTATGACATCATCCATCATACCTTATTATAGGTATTCATAGCCTTGCTAACAGTTCACTGCCCCCATCTGAGGTTCAAATGACAATTTATGGTGGGTAGGTAAAAGTAAAAGATGAATTTATTTGTTTTACTACCTGCTGGTTTCCTCCAGAGAGATAGTATCGAAGTAATGCCTGTTGGTTGTTTGGTATTTGGGAATTGTTTACCTGGTTACCTTTTGAGGAAACGAACAAATGTTTACATGCATTGGCAGCACAGTTCTGATTACAAAAGATTGAGAGCATTTTATTCTAAATATCCAATTTATAAGGAAAGTCAAGATGTTGAACTACCCAGGAGAATTAAAGTGCAGTGAAAATTGAATTAAGATCCATTTCTCTTCAATGTATTCTAAAATTCTTAGAAGCATTTAGATTCCAGTTTGGGCACTTGCTTTACAATATTATTAATATTAACTCTTATATAGGATAAGATGAATAACTCCTTCTCATTATAAGACATGATTGTGTAGTTCAGAAGGGTTTCTTTTCTCTAAGTGTTGTCTCCAAGTTTTTCTTTTAAAATAAAATTGTTGAAGTGTTTGAACATATCCTCTTTGGCTAAAAATCAAAAGAATCATGCAGCTTCAGGGTCATTTGTTAGATCCCATTTACTTGCTGTTAGAAGAGAAAAGGAAGAGAGAGTCCTCTTTTAATAGGCTGGAGTATAATTCCAGATTCAGAAACTCTCCACTCTAGTGTTTTCAGAATTGCCACTACAGAATCTGTGTGTGTGTGTGTTTGTGTGTGTGTGTGTGTGTGTCTGCTCACACACGCATGCACACACACACACAGGAACACTTGTATCTTCTACTTTTTTCTTTCTTAGAGATTCAATTCTTTAAGCTATTTTTTTTTCAAGATAGTAAATGCACAGTTAAATCTTAAGTGTCATAAAAGCAGACTGAGACCTTGATTTCGATCAGGAGGTCAAGGATCCACGCCTGAAGAGGCTGCCAGACACTGTGTACACATGCTATTCAAAGAGATGGAGCTAGTCATTGCTGTTGAAAAGTGTGTGTGTGCATGTGTGTGTGTCAGTAGGAGGAGAAAAGGGAAGGTTAAGGTATGTGTGAAGTAAACACAAGCTGCCGTAAAACAGTTCAAGTGGTGTTGATTCATCAACCAAAGGAGTGGGAGGAAAAACAAAGAATTCGTGGCAGGTATAATGGTGTACAGAAAATAAACACCCAGAGAAGTATATTTTATTAACTTTCGGCCCTCAGAGAAAAGGAAGTGTCGGACCTATCCAGGCACATTTCATCTGAAAGAGGCTTTGTGCTATGAATAGATAGCACTGTGGGAGTTCCTATCTAGTAGAATCCACTTCTCATGGGAAAGAAATTATTTTGTTTGTAAAATTTCTGTTTGTGTCCATCCATTTCCAAAATAAGAAAGAGAAGTAATGAGTTTCAAATCTGGAAATGAGTAGTAGCAGAAGCAGAATTCTACCTTAGGGCTCTTCCTGAGAACCTGGAAGCCAGAGTTCTGTGTCCTTCCTTGCCCCCCTACCCATCCCATTTCAATCCCCAAATTACCAGTTTACATGTATCCTGCTGATACAATGTATAGAAGAAAATCTCATGCAAACTTACTAATGTCCCAAACTAAATGCAGCTACATTGTTAAATATGTTTCCTATTATCTGCTAATGTCTGTTTTAATAAAACAGTGGGAACTAAATGGTTGCTTCTTAATCAAAACCATGATTTCCTAACATAAGCTATGTGATTCTGTTACAAATTGCCACATATAGATCTCCTAGGTCAAAACTTTTTTCTCTTCTCATAGAAATAAATAAACAGTAAAATAATTATATACTCTGAAAGATCAAAGTAAATATGACTAAAACCTGGCAAAAATAAAGTCTACTGGGAGGATTAAAAAAAAGGATCAGATTGCAAATTCTATAGTTAATGCTTAAATAAATATGAGAAAAATGAACAATCAATAATTTGATATCATTAAAAACAGATGTAAAAAGTATATACAAATGGAATTGTCTGAATTTTGAAGTAAACATTTTAATGTGCATTTTTTGAATTTGTTGTTATTATAGCTAAACTATTTACACTTATTCTTTAAAATGTCCTAAGTTAGTTTGGCTTAGCATGTTAACTTTATTTTCCCTGGTGATCACAGCAAAGTACATTCTGTTTACCTTTTTTCTTTAATTTCAAAGACAATCATGGTTGACACAGACATATTTGAGTTAACATTAGTGTTAATTCAGGATGGATGGGGAGAGAGAGTTGGCATACTTTGCTTTTAACATCCAGAACTATGAACCTGCTTTGCAGGAATTTTTGATATTGAATAAAATGAAGTGGGCAGATAGGGTAGTAGTTGGTTTAGACAGCATTTTTTATTACTGTTCATCTCGTACTGTAATTGCTTCTGGCCTAGATTTTACAGCGTAGAGCTCGTAAGCTCCCAAGTATAAGGAAAAAAAAAAAAGTACCTATTGTGTAAAAGCAGGGGGAAAAAAGACCAATATTAACAGTTGTTTAATATGTAGGAGTTTTAATGTTGGACACAAGGATAATCCACAGGGACCTGGAAATGTTCATGCTGCTACAAAATTATTTTTAAGAATTCTTGGGATTATGTGGAATTTACCCCATCAATTTTTCTTTCATAAGTTCTGCACATTTTAATGAAACACTTATTTTTTTAACTTCTTTTCTATTAACTGTGTAGATGTAAACTTGCCTCATCATTTTTATGAAACTAAGTGGCAATTATATATGCAGTACCATCAGAAATTACACTTTATGGCAATCTACTTCTGCAGGGCATCTTCTAAGAATAAAAAAGTGCCTTAACAAAGAAGGACTCATATATTTTAAATGCTTCCTAATTAAAAATTAATAAGTTAAAATAATGTTATATCTAAAGTGTTTTTCATCTGACACCAAAAGCAAAATGAAGTGTCATCTTTGGTCAGGTCAATCTCAGCTATGTAATATGTCACAAGAATTAAGGGGTCATTGCAAGTTCACACAAATACTAGTGGATATTGTAAAATTATTTGTGTCATAAAATAATACCACTAGAATGAATGGACCTAACCAAACCCCATATTTTGGCCAGAAAGCAAAATTATCCTCATCACTTTTCTTTTCTCAATCATTGCTCAAGAACCCCCCGACTGTTAGTTGTCTTAATTTTATTTATTTGAACTTATTTTGCAAAATATTAAAAAGCTGGAAGAAATGAGGATTTTAAAAAACCAGTGTTACTTTTCCAAGCCTGGTTTATTCTAGTAATCAGTATTTTATCTGACCCTGTCTGATCTAGTCTTGCAAGATCAAACGTCCAGGCCAGCAAGCAGACAGTAAACAAAGCCCATGAAGGGTTTCAGTAAACACAAAGATTAGATGTTGAATGAAAATTAAACTCCTTGAACTAGTCCTCTGTACTAAAGTGGTTAAGTGGGTTGTGATTAAAAGAAATAAGTAATTATGATCATTATAGCTGAAATGATATAATGTTACCACATTTAAAGCACCTCTTGTACCCAAAAATGATTGTGTCATTTACAGAGCGGTGCCTCAGAGTTGAATAGAGAAATCAGTGTCCCCTGACCTGGTTCCATGAGGCAGCCCCTGCTTAGCCATGGTGGTATCGGTGGTCAGGACAATGCCTTTAATCAACTGCCGGTACTTCTCCCTCTGCTGTTGTTTAGCTCTGATGAGGTAAAAGCAACTTACTTTTGTCTACCTAATTTTTCTGAGTCATGAGAGAAATTTTCTTCCAGCTTTGGATCTAAATGAAGGTGTTCGGCAAGGAAGTTTGTCCCTCTGCCTGTATTGTATCTTGCTTAAAGTAATGCCAACATCAAATCCTTGGCTTTTATATAAACCCTTGAACTTCTATAAATTTCATATAAGTGTTTATGGAAATAGAAACATCACTTCCACAACCAGCCGCTT